TGGTCCCCCATGCCTACCCACTGTGGTCAGCAAATAGCTTTTGGCTGTCCTACTTCCTTGGGGAGCCCCATGGTGTTGGGTGAATTGAGTTTCACCCATGTGACTCAGCACCCCCCCCCCCACCGATTTAAAATGATTGATCACATTTTGGGTCAGTGGCTAAACGGACATACAGGGCAGGGGGCTTGGAGCTGAACACAGAACCAGGAGCTTCCTGTATGCTGAGCAAGTGTGGTACCCTCTGAGCTGCAGCCCGAGACCTTGAGTTCTGTCTTTCTTTTTTTTTTTCTTAATTAAAAATAATTTTTTTGAGACAGGGTCTCACATATAGCCCTGGCTGTCCTGGAACTAACTATGTAGATCAGGCTAGCCTTAAACTCACAGAAATCCCCCTGCCTCTGCCTCCCAGGAAAAGGGATTAAAGTCCACCATGCCTGGATTTCATTCTTTAAATTAGCTTCATTGGTCTTTGTTTCAGTAATAATTGTTGTAAAGCAGAACTTATAACATACATTTATGTTTCTGAAAGACTTTTATTTGCTTTACATATAGAAGCATCATGTAAGATTTTATTTCAAAACAGACAAGGGTGTGTGTGGCTGGAGAGATGACTCTGGTTAAGAGCATTGGCAGCTCTTCCAGAGGTCCTGAGTTCAATTCCCAACAACCACATGGTAGCTCACAACTGCCTATAATTGGGATCTGATGTCCTCTTCTAGCTTGCAGGTATACATGCAGACAGAGCACCGTATACATAAAATAAATCTTTAAATAATTAAAAAAATAAGAGAAAAAAATGTGGCCCTCACGAAACCTGGTGAAGGAAGCCGAGGTTAAACAGCACTCTAGACACCCAGTTTCAGTTGTCAGGGAAGCCGCTCTCTTTATGCGTACCAACATGGGTTTATATACCCCTCCAACAGCAGGAGTCAAGGAATGGTTACTCTGTATCCATAGGTAAGCCGGACACTGTTTTCCAAACAGGAAAAACCACAGGGGAACTGATCCCCAGCACCCTCCGGAACCCAACTGCACATTTTTCACACAAACAACTTAACTGGGACAGGACAAAAAGAGCATTTAAAATTAAGTTAGCAAACTTACTGCTGC